CATATTTTTTCTTTCAAGGCATTATAAATTTTAAATCCAGAATTTCTGATTTTCACTTTTGAAACAATTTCCATTTTTTCTTCTGAGATTCTACACAGTTCATTTGTTTAGCCATTCATATGGCTATGACTATATTTTTCTTTAAGTCCTTGAACCATTTTTTACATGATTGCTTAAATATTCCTCTCTGTTAATGGTATTATTTAGGGCTCTCAGATTTTATCTCCTATTTACTGTGATGATATATTTATAGGTTTTAATCTCCTATTTCTTGTATAACACACTATTTTACCATGTGTCGGACATTTTACATAATGTATTAAAAATTCTAGTGTGTTATAAACCTCTGGAGAATGATGGCATTTGATGTAATAGGAGTTAAGTTATTAACCAATGACCATAATCATGTAGAGGATTCATTGTGCACTATTTTCAAGTATATCAGTTTCAATTTTGTCCTTATCCTTATGGCAAATTATTTCTTATTTCTGCAACAGAGAAAAGTCACAGTTCTAGGATTTTGAAGTGAATTCTGAGGCACTCATGGGGAAGCTACCCTTGGTGGGACTGTCTTCAAACAAAGAGCAGCAGCCGAAATACTGGTGTGTTTTCCAGTCTGTCAATGTTCACATTCTTCTGGGCTTTGCAATGTCTGTACCCTCTTCTCACATGGAAACAAACATTTAAGGGGGTTTTATCTGGGATCTTAAATTTCTGTTGTTACTTTCTGACTTGGTTCTCTTTTTTCCAGCTTTCCTGGCAACCCTCTGAGACCTGTCAATGAAGTTCTGCTGTTTCTAGCAATTCTGACCATATGGATTTGAGGGGTTTCCTGGGATGTAGAACTATAAAGAAGAGAAGTACAGGAAAACAGGGAAAATGTTCACCTTTTATGTTTCCTAGGGAAAGCCCCTAATGCTAGTTTCATGCGTTTTGCTTACATTCTCATTGTGCATTTCTTTATACTTTCACAATGCTTTAAAATTAAAAATTAATCTTTTTAAGAATTATTAATATTTACAGAAAATAATCTATAGTGTACAGAATTATTCAAAGAATAAAAAAAAAAGCTTCAGATTTCCCTGTGAGGTAACAGAATCTCCTAGAATCACAAGCTGTTCCTGCCCATATAAGGTCTTATTTATTTTGCATTAAAATGTGTTGCCTCTTGAGATAGGGTTCAAAGGACTTACATGAAGTATGCTATGTATATGAACTCATTACTATGCCTTTCTTGAATTACCCTTTTTGCTCTCCTTTCTCAATGTTATAGTATACTCAAACATGCATTTGTTTACATATATACTTGTACCCCCTATAGGCTAGGATCAGTATATGTGGGAGAACATGTTTTTTTTTTTTTTTAACTTTCTGATATTGAATCACCTCAATTAATAGTATACATTCTAGATCTATCCATTTTCCTGTGACATTTGTGATTTACTTTTTCTTTACATCAGAATAATATTTCATTAGGTATATGTGCCAGATTTTCAACTAGGCTGGTTCCCTTTCCTTGCTGTAATGAATAGTGCAGCAATGAACCCAGGGATACTTCAAATAGTTGTTCTGTAAGTATTTCCAAAAGACTTGTAATTACTATCTGAAGAACTATCAGGCTTGTCAAAATTAAAATCTCAGTAATATATTTAAATTTCTCAATTAATGAGAGAGTCTGTATATGATCCAAATTTTGATATTCAAACACTTAATTTCTCTCTCTCCCTCTATCTCTGTCTCTGTCTGTCTGTCTGTCTCTCTCTCTCTCTTTCTCACTCTCTCTGTGAGTGTTTGTGTGCATGTGTGTGTGTGTGTGTGTGTATGTGTGTTACAGGTGGCTTGTGGAGGTCAGAGGACAACCTTACTTCAGGGAGTCAGTTTCTTACACCTTATCAAAGCAAAGTAACTCCTCATTTCTGCCACTGTGCAGCTTAATCCAGGCACTCTAGCCACATAACCTCAGGCCAGTTCTCCAGTCTCTGTGTCTCTCTCTGAGGCAGGAGTGCTGAGATTACAGATGGACACCACTGCATTCGGTTTTTTAAGTGGGATTCCTGGGACTGTCCTCAGGTTGCCAGCCTAGTACCACTAGTGATTTTACCAATTCATCCCCCTGGTTCTCAATGCTAAATCTTCTATTTTGCTTCTGGAGGTAGTGATCATACCAGTAACACTATTACTACTGCATTACATTAAAAATATAATAGGAGATGGGGTGGGGAGATTGCTCAGTGCTTACAAACACTGGCTGGTATAGCAGAAGACCCGTATTTGATTCCTAGCATCCACATGGTGGCTAACAACTATCTGTAAATCCAGTTCCAGGTATTCCATCACCCTCTTCTAACTTCTTGTAGGACACAGGTTCACTTATGCACATGCAGGTAATACATTCATATATGCAAAATAAAAAATAAAATTTTGTAAAAATGAAATGGGAAATTTAACAAAAACAACTGTAATAATAAATACTCTCTAATGGGGTATGGGTGGACATGCTCTTCACTCGACTCTCCAATGTAATTTTTAAATTTTCATATGATTTTTATCTCTGTAGACTTATATACATGCATATAATTTACAATGAAGAAAATGAGCTTTATACTTATTAAATAATGGTTATAGATTATAATACATAATCAAAATGGGTTAAATATACCTAAAAGATGATTATAAAAGAAATTGCTAAATGACATCTTTTACAAACACCAGGGAATATGGCATGGAAATATCAGAAACATATATCAGAACAACTTAAATCAAGATTAGCCACTAGACAAAAAATCCAGAGACACATTAAAACCCACTAGACACTAATAGCACAGTTAAAATTGTAGCCAGATACTATAAATAGCAAAACTTTCTCTATGGATTCTCTTAATATGTGGGAAGGTATTCTGTTATTGAAGTTGATTATAATTTGAAGAGATTGTGTTAAAATATTATCATATGAAAATTTGTGAATGATAACAGTTACTCCTAGGGGCCTCATTGTGTATGTGACTAATTGAATTCACCTGAGAAACTTACTTTGGACAACTGGAAATGTTTCATAAAGGAAACAACAGATTCTTCATATAGAAGATTTTATTTCATTTAGAACAAAATTTGCAAGTTATAGGCTGCCTACCTGTTTGGTCTTGCTATTTAGGACATTCAAAAACAATCATTAATTTTATTTCTTCTGACAACTCAACTCTGACTATAATTAAGAAGAAATTCCATTTAAAGAGTCTCTGCAGTGGGCATGATTTCTAATATCTTACTGATTCATAACCAGCCTGACTTTATTTATATCACCAGCTTTGTTTTTATGTGCATTTAAATGATATACATGTAGGCTCTAGCATACAAAACTATGAGCAGATCAGACAGAGACACTAAAAACAGATATAATTATTTACAGTCTGGGCTCTTAATAAGATGAAATTATGACTGTGAGGAGGAACACTGATCCTCCTGCTGAAACAAGGAATAGGACCACTTCAAAGAAAAGAGGTTTAAATTTGTTCTGCTTCCATTTTAATCATAGTGGGACGAAATCTATTGACTACATCTGGATGCTTTTGTTGTTTAGTTGGATTCTGTCCAAATGCCATGACTAGTTTTGCTTAAGGCAGGGTTCTGGTGCCATACCAATTTCCTTGGTGTATCTGTGAGAAGGTATCTATCTGATAGAAGACCTGAGCCCTTGTATGCTGTTGGCAGCCTCCATCAGTAATTATTTACAGTCTCCAGTAATTCTGTTTTTCTCAGGTGTGTTTTAGAGTTAGTGATGGTTTAAGACCTTATCTTCTGTTAAATTCCCATCTCCTGCACTTCTCAAAACCTGTTTGTATAAGATGTTCTTGCAGAAAATATTCTGGATTTTGAGATGGTGCCCTGGCACTTTCAAGGAAGTGGTCTTAAGTCATTTTGCCTGTACCTATTTTATGAACTTCTTGCTTGGAAGATGTTGGTTTTACAGGATGAAGGAAGCATCTCTTCACTTTCTTCCCCAGAATAAGATATTCTTGTGTCAAATATTAATTAGGCTGGCCTAAAGGGCACCACCATTGTATCAATCCTTAGTCCTGCGGGGCATTTTGGCAAGAAAGAAGCAAGCTAATACAGTACTCTCCCATTCCATAAAAGTTTAAGAATATTAGAGAATAAGAAATAAAACAACCTGTAAATATTAAAATCAAGAAAACAAAGGTCAGTGTTCATAGAAGAAATAGAAACGTTTCTTACATCGTTTTGCTTAAACTCTGTCCAAAATACAAACACACACACACACACACACACACACACACACACATACACACACACGCTTATACACACATCCATAAGCAACCAACACCCCACTTTGTGGTCCTTACTCTAGTAGCTATTTCTATGCACTTATGTTGGTCAACACTCCAGTAGTCTCTGCCTGTATTCTCACTTCAGGTTAACAGCAGATAGATTACAGACAAGGGAGGAATAGATTCCTGGAAGCACATAAAAATTTCCTGTTTCTACTTTCATTCAAATGTCAAGTTACCAAAGCTTTCTGCTTACTGGGATACAGGCACTCTTCCCCCACAGTCTGCTGCCCCTCCCCCAACAAATTAATCACGATTTTTCAGATTAAATGATTTAAAGATGAGAATTCGTCACAAATATGGTCAAACAAACCCCCTGTTATTGGTGATTTGGTTTCTGTGCTCACTGAAGCATCTTATGTTCCCATGAACGCCAGTTCTGGTATGTTTGTACAGAAAAGGGTTAAGAGGTGCTGAGAAGACACCACGCATGTGTTAGTCCTTGTTGCCAATGCGCATCTCTTCCACTTTGACCTCATAGTTAATATGCATGCGTGATAATTAATTACGCAGAGCCTCTAGTGATTTTTTTTTCTATTTCTTTTAAATGCACATACAACGAAACCACTCACAGTGCGCCCAGCCCCCATCTAAAAGAAAAGAAATCAAATAAATAAACAAACCTAAAAGAATGGACCCCAGGGAGTTCACGCGAGTGCACGGGGCATGAATGTGAGTGCCTTTCTCTTATTTGCCTCCGTGTGCATCTCTGCGTGCACCCTCCCCCTGCCTCAGTTATGTTATCCCCCAGAGTTGGAAGCTGCTGCCTGAGCTGACGCTTTGATGGTATCTGCGAGCGTTTGTACTGATCTTTATTTCTGCCCCCTGAATACTAATTCTCGAAGCTGGTAGCAATACATCTCCCCAGTGACGGGACCTACTAGAGGCAGGTGGGGGGAGCCACCATCAAATCATCAGCATAATAATAATACAAAGGGGGAGGGATTCTTCTGCAACCTAGAGGCAAGAGGCAAGAGGGGAAAAAAAGGATGAGTTCGCCAAATACACGGAGCGGTGGAAGCTCAGTCTACTGGACTCCTGTGTTCTCACAGAAAATGACGGTGTGGATTCTGCTCCTGCTATCGCTGTACCCGGGGTAAGAAGGGCCGTTATCAGTGTCGCTTTGCTCTAGAGAGATGAGGGGGAGAGATAGGGATGTTAGGAAGATCACGCTGATTTGAAACACTCATAGGATTTTGGGTTTAAATTTAGGGGAGAGTGAATATATGGGGTTGGAACAGAAGAGATGAGAGAGGAAGGGCATGTTGCTTCTTTTTTATTAATTGAAAGGGCTTTATTTGTTTGTGTATTTTGTTTTAGAGCGGCAATGCTCACTTCATAGACTGTGTGCACATTTGAATTTGCTGCAATCTGATATGGAAGTGGGCTGTGCTAACACACGCCGGCATTTGAGGCCATATTGAAGGCATTTGGGTGGGGGTCTGGAGGAGAAAATTGCAAATGGGGTCCTGGCGCACACCGGAGGGATCGGTTTGAGGGAGGACCGGGGGCGGGGGCAGCTCTGTTTCTATTATACACTACTGTCTCTCTTGGTCCTGCACCTAAGCATTCAGTCAGCCGGGTTTTCTATCTAGCCTCATTGACCTGTCAGCAGACTCCCTGATGGGAAAACACGGTTCAGCACCAAGGACAGCGGTCCTGCTTGTGGCCAGATGGAAAGAGGTTTGCAGAACCTCCGATTATCCAAATCTACAAAGGACATTCACAAAAGTGAGAAGGCCACTGGGCCAAGGAACATCACGGAAGCTCAGGGACCCCCACACTGACTGCTGCTACTCCTTCTTTGAGATAGGAGGAGGGCTGCTGCACATGGGGTAGTGAATGTAGTTCAATGAAGGTTTAGGGGATGTATATCTGGAAAAGACTTGGCCTTGCTGCAGTCTTGAAAACATACTGAACCAAGTGAATGTAATGCCCAGATCGTGAAGTGCATGAAGGCTTTATAGTCTTGCTGCACCGTGTAGAAACAAGGGAAAGGGGCAAGTGGAGTCCCAAAATCCTGAGCACGTGTGTTTTGCATCTAGATTTTTCAGAACTTCCTTGAACCAAGAGTATGAGTATAGAATCCCTCCACACAGCACAGTGCACCATGTCTCTACCAAGGAAGTAGCTCTCACAGTACACAAAACCAGCACTTGCCAAGAGGGCCACTATTCCCATCGCTTGCCCTTCTATGTTGCTGTTTTGGAACAAAGTATTATAAGAATTACCCCTATCCTACCCCATGCCCAATTTTCAATTGTAACATAAATGCATGTACGAAATCAAGGAACTACCCCAAATATTTTCTAGGAGCTTTTGTAGTAGTTGTAACAAAATAAGTTGAAAGGGATAGGAATTAAAGTACTTTTGAATTGGAGTGAGAGATCTAGTCAATTTCTCTGATGCTCTTTCTCTAGGACAGGGGATGGGACATATAGATATCTGACATAAAAGAGATTCAATCAAAGCAAAGAATAAGAGCTTCACTTTGTAGTTTCTAACCAAAAAGTATATGCTTAGCTCTTCAGTCACTTTTCACGTCTTCCTACTTTACTACAAAAATTGAGCTTATTTTTATTAAAACTATAAGCTGAAGTTTTCCCAGAAGAGGAGAGCACTCTTACCAGGAACAATATTCTATGCCATACATTAGAGTGGATCTGTGAAAAATATTTTTTCAGTACAAAATTATCACACACTTTTCTATTAAGTATTTCATGCAAGTTCTTAAACTTTGTTTCAGAATTTAGGACACTTGTAGATAGAAAACAGCTTCCCTATATTCCTACAGACCATGAAACCTGTGGATTAAAATCAAGACAAGACATGAGAGAATATATCATTCCTTCTTATCCACATTCATTTTAGTAAACAGTTTCATAACTAAGAGCCTGAGAACATTAATATGTATTTCATGTGTAATGTTTCTTAGTTAACAAAATGACAATTTTTGATTATTGTTTACAATACTAATATTATTGAAGACATCCTCTTCTTGTAACAGTTCTACCTTTAAAATATAATATGACATAAAAACACGAAACTTGATGACACATGAAATATTTCATATATGAGAATAGCCTGGGTGGCTTCTAAGGTAGTTCTAAGTGAAGGGAATTATGTGTCATGAAGACTCTCCAATAGACTGATTAGTTTTCCATCCCCACAGTAAAGATAGAGAAAGGAGCCATTGCAGTTTGGTGCACAGGGTGTGATCAGAGTTCCAGTCTGCTGAAGTCCCATAAAAAAAGCCATTTGAAGGACTGAGTAGGGATGTAGGCAAGCAGTAGCTAGTCCACCAAGGGAAAAAAATAAGACACTGGAAAAAAGTGAGTCCTGAGAGTTTTTTGGTGAAAACAATATTAGTGGTAGAAAAATCCATGAACACTGAAAGTAAAAGACGCATTTGACCTTTTTGTTTATAAAACTCCAAATAAGGAGTCTTTCTTTCCTACTAAACTGTGAAAGTTACTAGATTGTGTCTATATAAAAGGAAAATAAACAGGAATTAAAAATTGAAATGAGCATATAGAAATCTAATCTCGCTTTTCAGAATGAGAATTTAATAAACTCTAAGTCTGCTCAACTGCCACATATCTTGCTTAAAATTGTTGTAAGAATCACTTGGAAACTTACTAAAATGGAAATTCCTAAACCACACACTGGGTGATTCTGAGTCATGAGGTTTCAGTGAGTCTAAGAATATTCGTCTTAGCAAGTGTTAAGAGTTCCCTTTGAAGAAAGAGGTCTATACCTTGCTGATTTCCAAAAGGTTATTTTCCTAGTTAATATTCACAAATAGTTTGGTTCCTGCATTTTTATTTATCTGAGCACAGTCAATCAATTTCACGTCTGTAAATTTTATTTATAGGCAAATAAAGTATGTTCTAAAATGCCCAATTGATAGAAAAGAACCATAAAATATTAATAAACATGTACCATATATAAAATCCATTAAAATTGAATGTAAGTTCCTATATAATTGTGTATGTAATCATAAAAACAAATTCTATACACCCCACCTACACATATTAATAAACATGTTTTAAAACAAATTTTAAAATTTACTAAGCTACCTTAATTGCAACTTCATTCTTCCTCAAGATAAAATGTAGAAAACCACTTAAAAACAACAAAATTATTGAGTGAAGTCCTAATATAAGATATAAAAAGATGTTTTAATTTCAATTAGCATAAATTATCTTATAGTATATTTAGAGTTATGATTATTTTTCAAAGAATTATATTGAGTAGAAATAAATTAAGTTGAATTTCTGATCATTAGCCTAAATCTTACTCTGAAATACTAGGATTAATTTTATAAAATTCAATTAAAGTTTTAGGAGTATTTTCTGTCCTTCACTGTTGTTAACTAGAAGTGTAAATTTTAGGAGCCACTAAAGCTTTTCTAATTCTGTAATTATATTATATACATGCTTAATTTCAACAGACTATACCCATACACATAAAAGAAATACTGTCTTTTTTTTTTCACTATAACCCAACTCTCTTACAGAATTCAGTTTTATAAACAGGCTTGTTACTCTCCATGTTTCCAAATGCTTCACCTAGTTTTATGTAGAAAACAACTTTTCTTTTTCACCAACACACTCAGTTGTTTTAGTGACCAACATAGCATTCTAATTATTCTGCTATAAGCCTGTACCTGAAAGCAAGAGAGAGAGAGAGAGAGAGAGAGAGAGAGAGAGAGAGAGACCCTATGCATAACTCAGAATTTCCCACAATTCTGCTGCCTGTTACAATATAGACAAAACTCCCAGTTAATAGGCAGATATTTCAAAAGTGACTCTTTTTTGGACAATGCCTCATTGTGTGTAGCTCAGGCTAGCCTCTAGCCTGGATTATAGGCTGTGCTCCATACCAGTTTAAAAATGTGTCTTTGATTTAAATAGCTAACTTTTAAAATGCCTGTGTGATATTATAGACTCTTTTGATGCCCAATTAAAAAATAATCAATTCATAGGAAATTTCATTTATTGATAAAAGGCTTTTCTAAATATTTTGTAATTTGATTTACTTACATTGTTTCGATTTAAAATGAAAGGAAGTGAAGATTGAATTTAGAGACATCATAACTGGTTCCTATTGTGCTTCTAGGGCCATGACTCCTTGTCTGTTGTAATATCCTAGCTTACTGAATATGGACATTTAAAAATTTAAGTTCAATGTAAATATCTCACAGAAAATATGGTCAAGCTACTATACTTACATAAACAGAATATTAATTGTAATTAGTAATTGATCTAAAATAAAACCAGTTGTGTTACATCTGCATACACACTTGCACACTGATCAATATACACATACATCATGCTTACCATTAAACATATGTACCTAGGTATATGAATCCACAGACATATAGTTACTTCTGATTGTCTGTTATCTTTAATCAAGTTATCTAATTTATAATATTATTTTTCCAATCTGTGAACTGTGAATCACGATGATTACTTCATGGATACATAGTAAAGATTAAACATACACACACACACACACACACACACACATACACACACACAAATGTTAATTGGAACTTGTATATACTAAGAACTCATTTTAACTGGACCATATTCTCTAAGCCAGATGTTTCTGTCTCTTGACATCTAAATGAAAAAAAATCATCACATATCCATCCAAATTTTATCAGTCAGTTTTGTAGACCTGTTTTGGAAAATTACAAATATGTGTCATTCTTGTGAAGTCAAATTGTTCTATATAAGGTAACAGACCCCAGAGAAGTTAGCTTAGATCCAGCTGGCCCTTGAAGAACTAAAATATTAATATATATTTTTTCTGAGAATTATTTAATATATTTAAAATATTTTAATCACATCATTATTAAATGACATTTCACTGTTTTTTTCTAGAGAGGCATGCTTATAGATAACTTGCTATTCAATGACTTCATGAGTTTAAGAACATACTAATTGTTATCATTTAGATGTCATATCTGAATTAGATTTGGAAAACATATTCCTCCTTTGGCCATGTCTATGTAAGTAAGGAACTGTTTAATTTGAAATTCATTGACTATACAGGACCTTAAGTATACAAATCCACAGACATATTGTT